CGGATTTTCCATCTTCTGACGAGTCCGAAGATACCCAGGATTGCATAGTTGTGGCTTGTGAATAGCTTCATTTTTCACCTGGAAGTAGATGCGTTGGTTCCACGGTGCTTGTTTTGGGGTGGCCCAAGACAGGGGGTGGCCCAACTCGGGGTGGGTCGACTTAGATACGAGGGTGCTCGATGGTACCGTGTGGACAGGATCTAAAAGATTCTAGATGGACACGAGCACGGGCTCCGCCCGTGAACGAACCATATGCTCTGTAAATATTTACGAGCACCGTGATCCCCTTGGAAAGAAGAAGAAATGAAAAAAGCATATTTTTCACACAGCAGGATGACTAGAGACAGTGTTTTCTGACAATTGAAGATGGAGAGGAAAGAGGGAATCTACAAGACGCGTGTGCGCGTGCCCGCACTTAAATGCCAGGCTGTGGGGCACGTGCATTGCTGAGTCAGCCAGACCTTACGGCACGCCATGACAGAGGGTGCTATCTTTGTAAATTAAAAGCCTCCTAAATTAACCAACCGCAGCAGTGGTTGATCAAGAAATGAAACTTTTATCCAACAGGTTACGCATCATCTTTCTGTTATGCATTATTAGTCACGTAGGGCAAAGAGGCACAGCCGCAGTCAGCACCAGGTTGATATAACTATCTAAAGGTTAGTGTTGGAAGGGCACCTCGTGATCGCACAGGAACTGGCATCCAAGATCAGGAAAACTTTGGTCCGGAAGAATTCACGTTCTAGAATCCGGGCTCCATACTGGAGCCGGACGGACAAACACACCGGACCGTGCACGTGGCCGCACGGCCTCCGCACTCGGGGCGCGGAGCGCCCCGAACAACGCGTCCACGTTCTGTTCTGCTCCCCCTATAAAAAGGGAGCAGAGAGTCGTAGTACGACTCTCTCTTGTACTTAGAAAACAGGATAGCTTCTAGATATTTTGCAATGCAACTAGAAGTCTTTCCCACCCAACCTTAACAGGCTGTCCACGAACAGTTAGGTTAGGTTAGGTTAGGTTAGGTTAGGTATATTTAACATCTGTAGCGGGTGCTGCCTCACTCTGGCCTCCCTAGGGGCATCAAACGTGCTAGCGACTACTAGATGTTCTAGATACAGGGTCTAGCCCACTGTTGTGGCGTGGCGCCTGGGGAGTCGCTGAGCCACTGTGGCGACCGATCGAACAGGGGGCCCGTGCACTGGACCCACGGTTGGAGAAAACGCTGCACGTGGGAATGGGTGCAACACACCCAGTGCTCCAGCAGCCTGGTGTGGTTCGTGCTCCTAGTCACTAGCCAAAGGCATGTGACATTCGTCATCTCAACAGAGACGTGTCTGCAAACTTTCGCTGCTTTCGGCGAAGTTTAGTCTTAAGACCATTTGGTTTTAAGACGTGTCTGGAGACTTTCGCCGGTTTCGGCGAAGCCTAGTCTTAAGACCAAATGGTCTTGAGACCAAATGGTCTTAAGACCTGTCTGGAGACTTTCGCCGCTTTCGGCAAAGCCAAGTCTTGAGACCAAATAGTCTTACGACCTGTCTGCAGACTTTCGCTGCTTTCAGCGAAGCCTAGTCTTAAGACCAAATAGTCTTAAGACCTGTCTGCAGACTTTCGCTGCTTTCGGCAAAGCCAAGTCTTGAGACCAAATAGTCTTGAGACCAAATAGTCTAGAGACCAAATAGTCTTAAGACCTGTCTGCAGACTTTCGCCGGTTTCGGCGAAGCCTAGTCTTGAAACCCAATAGTCCTAAGACGTGTCTGGAGACTTTCGCCGCTTTCAGCGAAGCCTAGTCTTCGGCGAAGTTAAGTCTTGAGACCAAATAGTCTTAAGACCTGTCTGGAGACTTTCGCTGCTTTTAGCGAAGTTTAGTCTTGAGACCAAATAGCCTTAAGACGTGTCTGGTGACGGTCCCGCCATACGTCCCAGTGGCACCGCCACAGATGCGGGGCATATGTGGAGCAGACACAGGCATGCAACAACTCGGACCATCGCACTATCCGTGTTGTGGCGTGGTGCCTGGGGAATCGCTGCGCCACTGGCGACCTGTTACGGTTGAGATCTTTACGGCTCAGGGGCTCGAGGAAGAACATCAATTTAGCTAAAAGAACAAAGTAGTGGAAAAGTAAACAAGTGGTACGAAGCACCCAGATGCGTGTGATCCGTTTTGTGTGTACGCGTGCACGATTGCACGCGAGGTCACGTGATCCGGGCTCCGTGGGGCGACTGCCCGTGAGGGCACGCCGCGCCATAACACGACCGATCAGACAGGGGGCCCGTGGACGGGACTCATAGTTGGAGAAAACGCTGCACGTGGGAATTGGTGCAACGCACCCAATCCCTCCCTTGCACTCTTCACCTTGAGATAGTCATATCAACCTGGTGCTAACTGCAGCTCTGCCTCTTTGCCCCACGTAATCTCTAACAACAGACGTTAAATATACCTACCTACCTATATTTGTTTAAAGTTGACTTTCGATGTTAAAAGCTATCCTGTAAGAGCCAATGAGGGGATCTCTGAAGTGGTCCGGTAAAGTCTCGATAGTGCCGGGAGGAGAGTCGCAGCCGGAGGCGGGGTCCCACGCGGTCGAGAGTAAACTCTGCCCGCGGCGGGTCTTAGCGACTCATTCCCGCTAAGTCAGTGCACCCCCTGTCCGGCCACCTCTACAGTCCGGTCACCCTTTTACATACCAATATTACGACCAAGGCCCAACAAGAGGCCTGGAGGGGCTGCAGTGGCAGGATCCTAGGTGAGGGGAAGACAGCCAGGCTGTCAGGAGACCCACACAACTGCGTGACAGGTCACGTGAGGATAGGATAAGAGCCAAGCAATCACTGCGATCACCAAGTGAGCGAGGTGAGCAGAGTGAACACCTCGATCACCAGGTGAGCAGAGTGATCAGGGCTTAAGCAGAGCAAGCCCAGAGTATAAGAATGTCAGGTAGAACCTCCCTCGATAGATAGTTTTTGACTGAAGCTCCGGCATCAGTTAATCTAAGTTAGCTTCAAGGTATCCCCTTGAGCAAGCAATCAGACTACTGTCACCAAGTCACCAGTCTCCAGAGTTCATTGTCAGGGTTACTGTTCAGCGCCTTCCCTAGGCCGCCCTATCTTAGGAACAGCAGAGGCCTGTTTGTAACAACAAACTACCTTCTTTCGCACCCAGTTACGAAGTTTACATTAAAGATTAAAACTAAAATAAAAATAGCCTACAAGAGCGTAAAAGTTAAATTTTTTAGGCAAAATATTTTAAAAGAAATTTACGGCGTGGCGTGCCCTCCGTGCACCAGTGCAGGTTTCGTAGCCATTTCATTTTTTCAATCTCGCTGGTCGTTTTTAAAAAGGGTCTTTTTCCTATTTAATTACATTATTGCAAATTAAAGTTTAGGTCGTTATAGTAATCGCAAAGTTGGCTGGTATTTTCAATATCTTTTTCAAGCTCCCACGTTGGACAGTGATATCCAAACCATTTTACAGCATAGCATACAACACCATTATCATTTTCATAATGCCCAAATATATTGTCAATTGCACAATTTGATTCTCCTTCCGAAACACGAGGCGGCGTAGCTTCTTGCCACACATTTATCAAATGCTCATTGTTGTAAACCCATAATAATTGTGATGAATCCGGCCAATCATGTAAAAACTCATCTGGATTTACGGTTATTACACCATAAAATGTTCGTTTTGGGGTTTGTAGAGAAATAAGGACTTTAATTACTACTAGCCGAGATGCCCATAGGGTTACAACGGTATCTCCTTCCAGCACAGACATTTTAACCGTAGCACTAAATGCTTGAAATTATAATGATAAACGCAATTATATTCCTCTTTGGAAGAAGAGCTGGCTAAAATTTTTATTAAAAAGCACTTCGCTTGTTTAAATACTTTTCAAATACAAAAGCTAAAACAGGAAGTAAGCAAGAAATATAATTTAGAAAGCCTAAAATGGCTAGAAGATAAACTTAAAGGAGTTGGTATCGAAGCAATATAGCGCAGCATTCGCTAACAATAAATAAATAAGTGCAATTAAGATTTAGGTAGTGAAATCTTGTAATTTAATCCCCTCGTCACTGTAACGTGCTATATACTAGGAAGGTTCTCGCATAGATATCTCAAAAATCTAGGGCACTCGTGTTATGGCGTGGCGGGCTCTTGCGGGCTTCCAGCCATTTGCCTTACCGCAGAGGGGAGTTACATAACCTCCGGTCATGTGACGTGTCATGGCACGGCGCTGTGGCACAACGCCATTGGCCATTATAGCCCTCCAACTCTAAACGTTGTCCTTTTGGTTGAGTTGGGGAGGGCTTCACTCTGCCGAACCTGTCACATAACGCCTGTCACGGACCGGCACGATGGAACTGTTGGAAGGGCGCCTCGTGATCGCGTAGGAACTGGCGTCCAAGGTCAAAAGAACTTTGGTCCGGTAAGCCCCAACCAGTGGTCTCCATCCAGCTCAACTTCCTTACTTGGCGGAAATGCAAAAGCACACTTTTTACAAAATGATGTGGAAAGGAGGGGATATATGACTTTGCTGGCGGCCCTGATTTGGCTGAAACGGCCGGTCCCCATACACTAAGGGCAGATCTTATTGGAGACGCCGGTAGCCCTGACAAATTGGAAATCTTTCCGGTTGTTATACCGGCCGGCGCAAGTAGCCCTATCAGTCGTATTCGGGGGAGGGATCGACTATTGGCTAGTGGATCCTTTTCCGGTTGGTTTTGCAATGTTAGTATTCGTCGACAGCCTCTTAAGGTCGGGTGGGAAAGGCTTCTAGTTGCATTGCAAAATATCTAGAAGCTGTCCTATTTTCTAAGTACAAGAGAGGGTCGTACGGAACGCGGACGCGTTGTTCGGGGCGCTCCACGCCCAGAGTGCGGAGGCCATGTGCACGGTCCGGTGTGTTTGTCCGTCCGGCTCCTGTATGGAGCCCGGATTTAGAGCGTGAATTCTTCCATCTGCATATCCATCATGTCTCCACTTTTGGCTCATCAACCAGCCTGCTTTCTGCTTGGCGGATTCTAGCTCTAGGTGTTGCTGGTAAAATATTTAACGAACCCTTCAATGCTAAAAGCCTGCATAGTAGACCCAGACATAGGAGGGAGGTAGTTTACGCACGGGATTCAGCACGGTTTTCATATATATACCAAACATCTTGCCTACGCGGCCATGCCCTCCATGCCTCCCCCTCAGGAGCGGCCGACGGTCCCCCGACCCAAAAGTATTGAGCTACGTCTAGTGGAACGGTTTATGGGTTGGAAAGCTCCATTCCTTCCAATGACAGTCAACCGAAGGGATAGTAAAGCTGGCCATATGAGCCGCCCACTTCTTCCGATACTACTCGACGACTCGCCCTGCCCCAATCACCAAAGGCCACTACCCCCAGGCGTGAAAAAATTGGTAACACGCGCTCAAGCAGCCGCGGGACCACTAACGCCCAACGACAATAACGACGTCCACATTCACAAACTTCTACCTTCTCACACCCCGCGCGAGGAAGTCTCATGGGAAGGCACCGGACTCGAAAACTTTCAGTGGATCGGCATGTCCAAAGAGATGATGAGAGCGCAAAATGTGCTCGTTGAACAAACCCTCAACACCCTGTGCACTGAGGGGGGTTGGCGACTTGACGTCTACCGCGAGTGGAGGTTCGGCAAAGTTGTCGGTATGTAATGTGTTGTAGAGATGGAAATTTCATCTTCGGGTTGTTGAGATGACAAATATCACATGCCTCAGGCTAGTGACTAGGAGCACGGGCCACAGCAGGCTGCCCACTATGTATATAAGATCATAACCTTTCCTGTCAAACTCAAAGGCATTCCCTCCCTCCAGGCATCCACAGGAACCACATCCCTACGCTGCTTCGGCCTACGCGGCCTCTGTCAGCTGTTAGATGAGAAGGTACTCAATGGTGCTGTATGGATTGATCGAGAAGATTCTAGGTGGCAAAACGAGAACGGGCAAATTCGGTGCACGGACTAAATCTCTGTGTATATCTACGAGAACAGCAGTCCTCCTCAAAAAAAGGAGGACAGAATACAGAACAATCTTCTTGGTGCTGAAAAAGTCTGACACCTCGTGTGGGTCCTCGTCTGTGGGTCTTGACCCAGATCGTCACAGCCGGGGGCCCTCTGCCTCTATATACCCATTGAACCCCCTGTTTCCGGTGCTCGTTTGCAGATCCCGAGCACGTGACCCGGCGCCCCGGTGCTTGGGAACAGTGATGCGCCACCGTGCCAAGCACCGGCCTCGCCCGGTAGGGTCCGGATCCTTTGTGACATTAGCACCTCCCCGCAAAGTTTATGCAGACGGTGGAGGATCAGGGGCTGGGAGGAAAACTGTGCAAATGGCACGAAAACTGCCCCGTTGTATGCAGGCCTCAGGGGGTTTGCCGCTTTAATCCGTCCTGACTCTTAATTACAGGCCTTTTCCTGCTAGGGGCCACAACCCCATTAGGCCCATTCCCTGGTTGGCCGCCTCCGACCCTTTTCATCGTGCACGGGAGGAGCGGGAAGTTTCAAGTGGGTGTTGCCGCCAAAAAGGTGCTAGGGGTGGTGTCAGATATGAGGGTGCTCGATGGTACCGCGTGGACAGGATCTAGAAGATTCTAGATGGACACGAGCACGGGCGGAGCCCGTGCTCGGACCATATGCTCTGTCTATATCTACGAGAACCGTGATCCTCGAGAAAAGAGAACAAGCGTATTTTTTCTCACAGAGCAGGATGACTAGAGACAGTGTTTTCTGACAGGTGACAAGGGGTCGTGACAAGGGTGTGAGCGGGGCGCTTAGTGTCAGACATTTTCAGCACGAAGAAGATTGTTCTGTATTCTCTCCTCATCTTCTCTGGAAATTCTGTGCCACAGGCTGCCCTTATAGCACATGAGCCCTGTAGATGCTTTAGAAAGAATGCCCTGCGGCTAACACGAATGCCTTGCGGCTGATACAGAGCGCCTTGCGGCTGACACTTAGGTTCTGACGGCCTCCAACAACCGCCGACAAGTCCTGTCAGACTTTTCAGCACCAAGAAGATTGTTCTGTCTTCTCTCCTCTGTTCTCACTAGGAATTCTGTCCCCCAGGTTGCCCTTATATTGTTCAATCCGACAGCCTGCAGAACATTTCCACAGTTGTTGGTCTTAGCGCTAAATCCCTGAATCCTTGCGCTAAATCCTAAATCCTTACGCTGAATCCTAGCGCATGGGCCCTGTAGATGCTTAGAAAGAATGCCTTGCGGCTGACAAGTCCCTATAGTTCCGTGACCAAGAGTCGAAGTCTAGCACATTGTCACACGGGGCCCTCCATTCGGCAGCAGTACCCAGAGGTCCGTGGCCAACCACAGGGGAGGAGATAAGCATGAGCGCTTCGGTCAGTCGTCGGCAACATGGACCGGATCAATGGGCACAAGACCCTCGCGTGAGATGTTTTGGTTGGAGGAGTTGGGAGCAGACCCCAGAAGGGACGTAGCTACGTATCTCAGCACAGACCAACTTGCCGCCTATATAAGGGTGGCCTCCTCGAAGGGATTCCTCAAGAGATTCTGCTTCCTTAAGCATCTCTTGAGGCCCTGAGAGAATTATTATACAATACCGAAGATTCCCCCTTCCAAGCCGTCATTGACCCCTTGCTACACACATATATAAGGTCATGCTGCTTCCAAACTGATCGAGGCACAAGGACTGTTACACCCACAAATCATTTGTGGCAAACTTTTAATCCAGCGCCATGAACTCCAGCAGCACGAACAAACCTGCACAAAGGCACGCGAACGAGGGCAGCGGCATCCGAACTCCAAGCTTCGCAGCCTACTATTCCAATACCATGGCGATTGTCGAAGCAACCAAGGCTATCTTCACTATTGTTGGTTCGAAGTTAGGAACTGGTAGGCTTTATTATTTTTGTTACCACCGTCTTTCCCCTTTTATTATCTGTATCATCATCCCTTTAATACTTGCCTATGTTTTTAACAACCCATTTAATCGCTATAGCAACGGTATCCGCTCGCTTCAACCTTGTCAGCATCGTCGTCGGCCTTGCCCTGGTTTCTTTCACGGTCAATTGCGTGCTTATCCTTATCAACACACTGTTTAAAATTTCCCTGCTGGTTTTAGTTATCAGTGTGCTATTACAACAATTTCAGAGGGTTTAATCTTGTTTGGTATCACGGGCCGGCACAATGGAACCGTGTAATCTACCAAGTAGACCTTAGAATTGAAGATGGAGAGGAAACGAGGGAATCTACAAGATGGCGATGCTCGTGACCGCACTTGAATGCTAGGCTGTGGGGCACGTACACGGCTGAGTCAGCCAGACCTCATGCCATGCCATGACATTTGGTTCGTCACCAGTCGAGACCGTAGGAAGTTGTATTTTGGACTGTACACTCATCGAAGATCCCCTGTGGTACAGGATATGTCACGGGCAGTAGGGGAGACCCCAGATCACGTGCGTAGGCGCGTGTTGTTCGCGGACTGTCACACGGGGATGACCCTCGGGACCGAGAGCAGCCCGATGGAGGTGTGAGAGCCTGTATGGGTATCACGTAGTAGTAGGTAAAGTCTCGATAGAGTCGAGGAGAGGGTCGCCGGCGGAGGCGGGGTCTCTCGCGCACAGAGGTATACCTCTCTGTGCGTGCGGGTCCCGACCCACTTTCGCTATCTAGCCTATCTACACGTGCCTGCAGTAGGGGCCTACCCCCTACTGCCCATGACAGCTAGGCGCCTCGGCTTCAAACTTCTCGTCACCATTGAAAGCCAGCCCACTGCACCCACGCATTCCTGAAACCTTTTCTGGCTCCGCGTTAAGATCGATACTGACAACACTTAACGGCAGAAACGACGCGAGCAGTTCGTGAATTCGGCCGCTGCTGGTGTGGTCGATGCGCCGTTTAGATATTGCCTTCACCAGATGTCAAACTCAAGGCATTCACTCCAGGCATCCACAGGACCCACTCGCCCACGCGGCTTCAGCCTACGCGGTCTCAGCCTACTTGGCCTCAGCCTACGTGGCCTCGCCTACGGGGCCCCGCCTCCATGCTGCCTCGGTTTCGCCGAGGCTCACCAGCCCGTTTAGGTATATAAGCCTCACTAGGCTACTCCTTACGAGCAGAAAAAAAGAGAGAATACAGAACAATCTTCTTGGTGCTGAAAAAGTATGACAACTGTTTATCCGCCCCTACGTGTCGTGATAGAAGCGGTAAAAGGGGATTAGGATGGCAATTAAAACCTCCTCCTAATAACCACCCTAAAAGGTCGCTTGACCCTTTTAATACCCACTGAACTAGACTCAGGGGCTGGCATCACCCAGGAGCCGTCGGGCTTGATATTTACGGGATGAATGTCGTACTGATGCAAAATAGCAGCCACAAAGACCATGGTCTCCCTAAGGGCGAATGCACGCCCGGGACAGGTGGACGAACCGCCACCTGTATGGCGAAAGCATTTGTTAGCTAAGAAATTAACATTTTAACGAGAACAAGGGTAGGAATGTTTAAGCTTTACGAACCATATGGTCGAACCAATCCCATCTTGGCGACTGCCACCTTCCCCTTGCTTGCATGCGCGTCCACGCCAGAAGATATCGGTCCAACTGCCTCTTGGACGGTGATATGGCGCCCGTGGTTCCACGTAAAGGGGTCCGGGAAAATGCGCGGGTCCGTGTGGCGCAACTCCTCAGCGATGTGCGCGTACGCACCCTTGGGCACTAGCCACCGTGCCAGTAGTCGCCCGTCGCCCTCGTGCTGGTCGGTTAGCACGAGATTTTGCCGCGCCTGCCGGAAGCTCCACGACGAGCCGTCGATCCGCAAGCTTTCGACATACGCCGCCTTAAGCAGCGGGCAGCGGGCGCAGAGGCCCTCGACATCGATATGCCGGACTGTCCTCCGATCACTGTTTGCCGCACCGCCCTCCGTGCCGATGTACGGCGCCACTTCGGTACGCACTCGGGCGAGTAGAGCCGAGTCGGCGGCGATGCGGGCCACGATCCAAAAAACGAGCATGTTGGCGTTTGTGTTCATGGCCCAAACGAGCCCCAGGTCGTTGGCCGCACGTGCCTCGATGCTTACGCCCATTTCGCGGTACAGCATTACGCGGGCCTGCACTAAACCGGAAACAGTATCGAGGCGCTGCCATCGAGGCCCCGCGTCCTGGCCGGCGGCACGGCGGTCCAGCGCCGTCTCGAGCTCGCACATGTAACGCATCATTTCCGCCCGGGCGGCGGCCGCGCGTGCGGCGGCGGCGCCGGGCGCCAGGAACGAGGGCACCCAGCGGGGAATGTCTAGGGCTAAAAGGATCCAGGACCTGTCAAACTCCTGGAGCAGGTCCCAAAAGTTGGGGAAGTTTTCCATAAAATCGTCACCAAGCAGGCTAGGGTTGGCTGTGAAGCCGACAAAAGCGCGCACCAGGGCGTCAAGGGGAGCTTCGACCGACGACCTGGCGTAGCTACTGTGGCTAGTGGCACCACTGTATGGCACTCTGCCTGCCACCGTATTTTTAGTCGCGATGCTAGTGACAGGTTCGACCCCAGCCACGCGCTCCCATTCCATCTGCACCGTTTGCTCAGCCGCGCCCAAAGTGACAAAGCGGTTAATGTTGCGAGCCAGGCGCCCGGCAGTGGCCGCGACCATGCACGTTAAGCCTGGGTCCGAGAGCAGGTAGCGGGTGAAAAGGCCGTTCAGCCGGGGCGACAATTTGATGTAGGCGTCGAGCTCGCTGGATGGGTAACCGAAGGCTTTGCTAAGCAGACGGGCGCGGAGCCAGCCAGCATCGGCAGCAGAGCTGGGCTTTGCCAGCAGCGATCTGCCGACCGAATGGCGGAAGATGAAGACGTGGGTCGTTCCCAACAGGTTAAGTGAGGCTACGCCGTGCGGGAGGCTGTCGCGAAGGCCTGTGAGAAAACTGCCGTGGTTGAATACGAAGTTGGGGGTGTGGCCGAGGATTGGCAGCCAGTAGGGGATTAAAGGGGCCGGCTTCGCTGTTATAGCAGTAGCACTGGAAACCGCGTCCGGCTTGCAGCGCGCCTGTGAGCGAGCAACCCAACCGGTCCAAAGACGGGTTATACCGACGGCGAGAAGCAGGAGGATGTAGAAAGCTGCGGCTATTATGGATGCCCCGCCGCCTTGGAACGGCGAAAGCTCGAAACCTAAACCCATGGCGGCAGGTATGTAATTATCTAAGATCTTCTGGTGTAAAAACTTCTCCCCGTAAAAGCCGAATGGTAAAGGAAAGCGAGCGGTGGAAATTCCAATGACAAGAGAGCACGGGGCGCCCTAATATAACAAGGGTTAAGATGGCTAGTCGGCGCCACGCCAACAGTTCCTTGGCCGCTGCTAATATTGCGCTGTGCGACTGGTTAGGGAGTGCACGATAGCCGGAAAAAGCTAAGGGCGTGTACGGCACTTGTTCCGGTTTCTAGTTCTTACGTACTAATTTCACAAGCCACTAGATAAACTGGTTTGCGGATCCAGATATAACTTTTTTTACCATTGTGAAAATCACTTTTCAAACCCCACCAGAAGTACCATTAACCCAGGCCAGCGAGTCAAGATCCACCTTTAAGCTGGGGGCCTGCCAAGACGAAAGCTTGACGACCTTTTCCGGGTCGCTTAGCTTCTGGTTAGCTTTTGGTTAGCTTTTGTGACGATCTGGGTCAAGGCCCGCAGGCCTTGACCCACAGACGAGGACCCACATGAGGAACCATGATCAAGGCGCGCTGAACGCGCGCCGAACACCGGAATCCCCTCTTTCTTTCCTTTCTCCCCTAGATTAGAATCTTCGTTCGTAGCGCCAATTGACTGTGTTCTAGTCTTCGACCATGGCCGTGACAGCTTTTAGCTAGCTTATGGTTTAGCGTTTGGTTATCTGCGTATATTTAGTACGCATTGCACAAAGTCGCTATACGATCGATCGCAAAGGACTCGCTTTATAATAAGCAAAAATAATCACAAACCTGTAAAGAGTTTCATTTCATGTGTTGAGGGGAATGCAAGCAGAAGCGGCCATTGGCTAGGAGCGCTTTCGACCCCTGCCCAGCGTAATTTAGGGTGGTTGGAGGAAAAATAAATGGTAAGTTGCTCCACCAACTGTGTCAGCGTGTCCCTTGGCGTGGACTGGGATTTGAGGATACTGTCACGGCTCTGGTAATTTCTAGCGAAGCCCCAATCCAACTAGGCCAAAAGGGCGAGAAAGCACTCCAAAAGGTCGTCAATTCAAGCCACCGCTGGAATCGCTCGTCTGCACAGCTTATATGGGATGAGTGCACAACACCTCACTGGGCTGTTACAAAAGTACAAGTCATCCGACTTGTACCTCACGTTGGGCTTAGCACCTTGGTGCAAACGGGACATGTCTGCGTCTGCCCAACAAGGCAAGCCGCGCCTGTAACGTGCTGTGCACAGGAAGGGGTTCTCGCTGGGAGATTTCAGAGGTTCAGGTCACTCAGCGGTCTAGAGGAACCGTGCGGGGCAATGATGTGTTCGGCAGAAGGTGCCTGACAGCATTGAATAGGGAAACAAAAACAAAAAAAACGGTTGCTTGCCCTCCAGACCCCTTGACAGGGAGTCTTGCAGGCCCTAGTTATACATGGTATGGTGGCGGCCTCCGGCCGTCGTGCTGTAATCCTTCTCTTGAGACTTTTGTCATGACTGGGAGGCGGTTCGCGCGTCGAGTGCCACGCTGTAAACCTTCCCCTGGAACTTCGTTATGACTGGAAGGTGGCTTGTGCATCGATCCGCTATGCTGGTCATGGGCTGAGATGCCCAACGTCACGAGGGTGTTACAGCGCCATCACAGGAGGGGTCTCTCTTTGTTTAACTGCCGTGACACTTATAACAAAAGCCTCGTAAGTTTATAAGTTCTTTGTTATGGCGTGGCGTGCCCTTCCATGCAGCCTTGCCTCACCCAAGGGTACTTGACCCTCCAATTAAGCCAAAGTGTCGACTTTGGCTTAGTCGTCCTTTTGGTAGCATGTGGGTGGAGGCTCCTACTGCCGAACCGTAACACTACTGCATTTTAACAAGGCGCAACTGTTTTTTAGTATAACTATAAGTGTTTATGTAATAAAATAGCGCTACCGACGAATACACATATTGCTACCAGCTGAGAGAGTTCTGTTGAGTTAAAGGTGGTGAAATATGTGAAGTCTTAAGATCGTGTTTCATTTTCGCCCTCCCCCACCTTTGCTCGTTTTCCCTGCCTTGCAACGGCATTCCTTGCTTAAGCACTTCCATTCTGTCGTACTTGCGAGTTTTATACTTCATGGATAGCCAAAAAATACCTGACCCAATTAATCCAGCAAAAAAAACGGCCCCCACTGCGATCCCAGCGGTGCTTGCTCGCTGTGATAATGTTTGTTTATTGCTATCATTATCCCGGTTAAATACGGTATCAGCAGCGCTAGGAAAGCTTTCGGTAGGACTCTGTGGGTCCGATCCACTTAATGTTTTTGAATGGGCAAAGGTTAAGCTTTCGAAACTATTAATAAACACAGTACCTGAGCCTGCGGTGAAAACAGATGGCGCACTTGTTCCCTTTTCACCCTCTACCGTTTTAGCAAGTGTACCATTCCCGGTCTCATTAAAGGTAGTTAGACTTTTGTCTGATGTAGATACGCTTTGGGATATGGGTGAAAATGAATCGCTTAAAGTCGAAGATGTGGAAGGGACGTTGGTACTTTCGCTCCAGGGCACTAAGGGTTGAAACGAAGCTGATGCGGCTGCTGGCATAGATAACGCCGGAGCCGTTTCTTCGGGACCAATTATACCAGAGGCTGAGGCGGCAAGTCTTATAACCCCGCTGCTTACATCCGACAGTACATCTGGTATTTTGGACGGATTTCCCATGGTAGCCTGAAGTCTATCAGTTGCTGCATTCTTCATACGTTCGCTTCGTCCTGTCGACGATGACAAAGCCGTAACCAAAGTGTTAGGGGATGTAACTGGCAACGAAACCTTGGATGCTAATTGTGTCTCTGACACAAATGTCAAGTATCCTGGTGATATCGCTTGGCTTCCCCCTTCTGGAGGGTTCGATGAGGGCGGGCGTGAATTGACATTAGAATTCGCAGAGGTGATTAGATCCTGCCTGCTTGTAAATCTGAGCGCAGCTGTTTTCTCTTCATTCTTCTCATCCTTCAGTATGGGTGTGTTTGTTAAGGCAACTTGCGAAGCACTTGATAGATGGTTTGAATGGCTTAGGCTTGTCGTACTTGTAGATATTGAATTAATGTTGGCTTCATGGGCTGGCGCATTACCATAGGTCGTGTTAAAATATAGCCGCTTTATATGTATCACGGAGCTTGGCCAGTCTTTGCCTGCCACCCCAGCAAGTAAGAGAACCAAACAAGGGGCTACTAGCATTCTGAGATTACCCGGCATGATTTCCTGTTTTGTTATTAGTAGTCCTTTTAGCCGTGCTGTTTAAGTAAACAGGATACTTAAATTGGAGAAGCAGCAGTTGGGTCATACCGTACCCTGGAAGTGAAGTGAAAGATCTTTTAAATTAACGGTATAGAATTAAGTCAACTTCTTGTAACCCCACTCCGCCGTAATTGCACTTACCGTCGTTTTCAAGACCTTTAATTCCGTTCTGTTAATTCATCTCAGGCATTGGATCTGCCTCAGGCCCAGCGAGGGTGGCAAGGGCCTTACAGCTATACGTATCCTATTCAGCCCAATTGTGACCAATGCAGGGCAATATATCCAAATAAATACCGCTTTCTCCAGTTCCGGATTCAGGGTTGTCCGTGTCAATAATTACAACATAGCCTATTGTTACGGCCGGGTGATGGAGGCGCGAGGGCCCTGCATTGGCGCTATGAACGAAGATTCCGCGCTAGGGAGAAGGGAAAGGAAAAAGGCGCTGACCGCGCCGGCGCCTAACGTTGCCGTGAGTCCTCTCTATGGCAGGTGCGCGTGCGCCTGGCGCCCAATCGTGGCGGTGCCACTGGACGCCTGGCTTATGGCAGAACCGTCACACCTATCCTTTCATAGCGCAAATTTTGGGCGCATAGGAACGTGTCAGAAAACAGTGTCTCTAGTCATCCTGCTGTGTGAAAAATGCGTTTGTTCTGTTTTTCCTTCGTTCGAAGAGGATCACAGTTCTCGTAGATATACACAGAGCATATGGTCCGGACACGGGCGGAGCCCGTGCCCGTGTCCATTTAGAATCTTCTAGATCCTGTCCACACGGTACCATCGAGCACCCTCGTATCTGACAGTATAGGGGGTTTTTGTAGCAAAGTGGAAGGGATGGCACAGTAGGCTTCTATTGAAGGATGAATCTGTCTCTGAGGAAAGGAATCTGGCACAGGGAGCCCCCGGCTCCCTGCCTATATATACACCTTTGACCCCTGTCCCCCGTCTTCTATATCGGAACCTGAGCCTCCACTGCTGCACCTCCGGTGATCGGTACAAATGGAGCGCACCTAATCGGTGCGCCCCGTCTGGGCCGAGCATCGGTCCGTCCACAGTAGGGTGCCTCCATTAAGCAGATATTACCAGTTATTTTTGGGTCGTCAAATTGAAAACCCTTCCGCTATCAGGCAGTATCACGGCAAGCAAGGTGGCTGCAAGGTTAGGTTAGGTATATTTAACGTCCGTAGCGAGTCCTGCCTCACTCTAGCCTCCCTAGGGGCACTAGACGTGCTAGCGACTACCAGATGTTCTAGATACAGGGTCTAGCCCACTGATTGCTGTCACGGTAGCTAGCAAACCAGGCCCACCAGCCGACCAGTGCCGGCCTTAAGCACATGCATAACAAGCCGCATCCCGAGGCCCCTAACTGGCGAGCCGGTTCTCGATGGTAGTGGTACGGGGTACCTCAAAGCACTGCTAAAGATGGAAGCGTACCTGGGAGTGATTTTCGTAAGCCACCAGTTTTGGTGTGCTTGCCGCCCCTGCGCCCGCGCTAAGGCCTTGATGCCGGCTATAAACTATGGGGACCGGGAGAGATGCTCCTTCTTTGGCTTTGCATCTGCTCGTGGGATTTCGCCGTATCTGTCCGGAAATTGCGATGTATGCTCTGCTGCGGATGGCACCCGGCTGTTGTACAACCGTCCTAAGTGCTGGAACTTACTAAAGCAAATCAACGAGGCGAACGTATCGGAGGTCGCGATAAGACCCTAGAGCGCTGAGATTAACAAAGCTATTGCAGATGGGATATCTCCCAGCGCGTTTCCTATTCTACATATGTTCCTTTACACGAACGATCCAAAACGAGTAATTTGGTAAATGTGCATAAAGCGTGGGTGTGCGAAAGCGTCACGGCGATTGAAGGGGACTGATAGATAGCGGGGACCTACTCTGTGAGAGCCAATACGGGCCCACGATTGGAGTGGCGCCTGTCCTGTCACGTGCCGGTCACGTGGCGCCGGCCTTTTCCCTACCATCATGACCCCTCCCCTGCACTTGCAGTCACAGAAAGCCAACTGAAAACAAAAGTCAAAAACAATGCCGAAGCTTGAGAATTTAACTCTTTCTAGTAAATATTCACTTAAACGGCGGTTGTAATGTATTATCAATAAGCTTAATTTATAGATTACAAACTGGGAGGAATGGACCGGTTTTCACGCTTTGTGTTTAAGTTCAAATTAAATCTCATTAACAGATGAATGTATCAGTAACATAAACAAACGCCCTGCCATACGAATGAGCCAGCGCTTGATTCTAAGCCTCAGTCGAGGCAGGAAAGGAAGAAGGGAAAGACCGCCAACGTAGGAAAGGACGAGACGGTGAAGAACGCGGGCCCGGAGCCCGCTCCCGGTGAGAGGACATGCCACCCTCAAATCGCGGGAAGTAGCGTATATTAACCTCCAACTTTTATGAATAAACTTCTAAGCAAATGTCGGACATAGTTTCGGGATTATATTTAGTTATTAGCTGAATTGCAACAAGATTCTTCGTATTTAATCTATGCATTACCACTTACCATAACCTCTTATTTGATGCCTTCAGACGACTTAAAAAACAATTAAAAATGGGTATAAATCAAAAAGCAATTGTAAAGCACCTCGCTACAAATCTACTTCATGTTCAAAAACCACTGTTAAACCCTTGTAATACCGATCGTACTACTGATCTACTCGGAAAAGCCCTACTAAGCCTTTCGTATCACCAAACGTCCATTTTTGAGTCACAGGCCGTACTCCAACTGTGCTCAAGGCTATTAGCGAAACTGTATGCAAACTTAGGACAAAACGTTGATGGTGAGGAATTCCAGAAAACCCGAAAACTGGAACACAGCGTTGTTGGTATTACTGTTCCTTATCAGTCAAAAAGGGCTTTTAATTTAGCCTTTACACGATGTCTTGCAAAGGCAGTGGCAATTTATTTCCATTGCAGATGTATTTTTAAAACAAAAACATCTGAATGGTACTTTTACGGGACGGGGGTAAATACGACAAGTGCTGCTATCGCGTTTGAGATTGCCTATAATTCCACGCTAGCAATGTCGACGTCCCAAAAGTCTCCGTCATCGAAAAAAAGCTACTGTCTTGGCGTATGCCACGGTATTTTCGCGAAAGCCCGACTTGCAAACTCGAAACTCCTGCTCGCCGAGAATTTAAGGATACGCTTTAAGCAGCAAAGGAGATGGCAACAGAAAAGAATCGAAATGGCAAATCTCCCCCACGCTGCGGGATTCAAATCGATGTTACCGAATGAAACGGAAAAAGCGACAAACGGAGGGACAAAGGAACATAATAGAAAAACATTCCCTTTTTTACCGCATATTGCAGAAAGCGGAAGAAATGGGTGTTTACGCACAGATTGGAAAGAACCGCAAATGGCCCAGCGCCACACGCAGGTTTTGCGAGCTCCATTCCAGGAAATGAATACCCCGCAGGTTATGAAAAAACATCGAGACCTGCCTTTATATGAACAACACTATAGCGATTTTCATGAGGTTCAACAGGAACAAAAGGAATGGAAATCGAAACTAGACATTTTAGGAAACAGGGAGCTTGTCCAGCATAGCCTTCAAGTATGCATCCACTCCTACGTATTTTATAACAAATAACTGACAAGCAGCAGGTCCAGAGCCTTCCGAAAGATCTACCGGCCTATATTCAAGGGTGGGAGGATAGCAATAATATTGACTTTAACCGGAAACAGTTGCTATAGCTGTTAGGGATCCCGATATCAGAGAGGCAAGGCTGCAATACAATATCGTGGATATAACTATCTAAAGGTGAAAAGTACAAAGGAGGGATTGGGTGCGTTGCACCCATTCCCCCGTGCAGCGTTTTCTCCAACCGTTGGTCCAGTGCACGGCCCCCTATTCGATTGGTCGCCACAGTGTCTCAGCGACTCCCAGGCGCCACGCTACAACAGCTGCCTACTATGTATATAAGGCCATGACCTTTCCCACCTCTCACAGAGGCACTCTGCCAGACAAGCAAGCAATGCAAGGAATCTTGAACCATGCCCAGCATATATCAACAGCTCGATGGTACCGTGTGGCCAGGATTTAGAAGATTTTAGATGGACACGAGCACGGGCAGAGCCCGTGCTCGGACCATATGCTCTATGTATATCTACAAGAACCGTGATCCTCTTCGAACGAAGGAAAAATAGAACAAGCTCATTTTTTTCACAGAGCAGGATGACTAGAGACAGTGCTTTCTGACAGGATTTGACCATGTGGGCCAGGAGGTGTTCCGTTTGTGGGGTGTTCCAACAGGGGGTGGCACTGACATTATGGTATTTAC